TTCCCTTTAAAAAACACCACACCAAGGACAAAGTCTCTGGTATCCCATCACCCTGGGATTAATTGGCTTTTACAGTCTGTGACCCTGGAGGATTGAAAGACTCAATTTCATATCAGATACAATGGTACAGGTTATGCCAGCGTTTTGCTATCATAGGGCTTGATAATGTCAGAGTCTGGAGAAAGCAGACTAGTCTTGATCCATCAAACCATGATTCTACTCCGTAGCATTCTGTTTCCTATCCGTCCCCTCCCCATTTCCTCTAGGAAAACATTTCAACTTCCCCTTGAATTTTTATCTTTACCATAGTCAGTCTAGAGTAGCAGGAAGATTGGGTTCTGGTGTATGTATTCTACTTCTAAAATGGAAGAGTTGTTTTGGAGGTGTGATTATAATACAATTTATTATTAAGCTTTAATGCACACAATATTTGTCTCCCACTCCAACCATCACATCTTATTTCTAAAGCAGCATCTCCACTCTGAAGGTTGTCAGCTTTTGGTTTAGATGAGCAATCAGTGCTCCTGGGTGGAGGGAGTAAAGCCCTGATTCCAGATCAGTCTGCTTTTAAGGGGACAGTACGGCTATGTCTATACTGGCAGCTTCTTGCGCAAGAACATCTTACGCAAGGGGTCTTGTGCAAGAAGTCTTGCGCAAGAAAACATCCACACTGCCATGTGTGCGCTGTGCTTTTGCACAAGAGTACCCATGGTAGTGTGGACACTCTCTTGAGCAAGAAAGCTCTGATGGCCATTTTAGCCATAGGGCTTTCTTGCGCAAGAAATCCCTGCCGAGCATCCACACTGCCCTCTTGCACAAGAGCTCCTGTGCAAGAGGGCTTACACCTGATAAAAAAGAGTGTAACTCTTGTGCAAGGAGCCCTTTCTCACCACGCCGTACTGTAAATTTCCTTGCGCAAGAGCGGGCGGGCAGTGCGGACGCGCTACAGATTCTTGCGCAAGAATGGCCGTACTGCCGCAAGAAGCCGCGAGTGTAGACATAGCCTACTTGTTTTCTTAGACTTATCTCTGTTCAACATGCAAGTGACGAAGTCATAATATTGCAACACTGCATAGACTGAATTTTAAAAGGTAAATCCCCATCCTTTAGGCACAGTCCTCGGGGAAAGAGGGGAATGGGATCTTCCCTTCCCTCCAGTTGTAGAGCTGTTCTCAAGACTACTGCAGCTCCTGAACCTGCACACAAATGCAGCTTTAACTAGCAGGTCCTCATAATCTACTGCTACCCTCCCATGAATGCCCCCCAGACAGAATTTGCAGGCTCCTCTCATTCTAAGGATTTCTCTACAGTCTGTCATCCTGCAGACCACATCTGTATTTTACACATGGGAAAATGAAGACACAAAGCATTGATGTGTCTTGCCTCTCTGGTCACACAGGAAATCTGACACCACTGGGCATTAAACCTAGATCTCCTGACTCTGGATCCCGTGCTTTAATCACAAGACCATCCTTCCTTACACAGTAGAGCTACAGAGTACTATTTATGCAGGGCATTCTTTTTTATAAGAAATAGCCCAAGTTGTGCATGGTTTAGCCATATGTTGATTCTTGCATCAGGAAATATGTGTCACATATGGCTGCTGATTTTACTTCAATGAAAATACAATAAAGCAATGTATGTGGACATCTGTCAGTGTGCAGGTCTGGACTGTCAAACTGATTTGTGCTGAAGAGTTCTGGGAACTCTTATTAATATTATTCTTCCCTCCCCATTTACATTTTCACTTAGAATGTAATCTAATATTTTCCCCCAAAGATTAACATTGTTCCCATTGCTTGGTATTTAAATTCAATACTGCAGAACCAATAAATAAATACACACAACAGAAATCTTGATCACAGCTGCCATAAAAGTGATTCTGGCAGCACTGGGAGAATTCCTCCCAGTTAGATGTTCATTGGATACATTCCATTCTTATGATGATCTACTTTGAGAAGGTTTTTTTTTTTCCCCCAACAACAACAGGATGGGAACATTAATGAACAGAGGGAGCCCTGTTATTGTTCTCATCTAAAGTCATTATATATTTTCATAATTGCAAACATGTGTTGTAATCTATAGCTATGTAACTTAATTCTTAGTGTGCGTGTATATATACACACACACACACACACACACACACACACACACACAGAGGAGTGAGTATATATATTAGAACACTGGTACACCTGAGAAGGATATAGGTAGCTTTCTACCAGATTTTTGTCCTGGGATTAGCCAGGGCCCATTTTGCCCTCTGGGCTATTACAACATGTGCTGGCAGCCCCAGACCATTAGGCTACGTCTACACTGGCCCCTTCTCCGGAAGAGGCATGCTAATTTCGAACTTTGGAATAGGGAAATCCGCAGGGGATTTAAATATCCCCCGCGGGATTTAAATAAACATGGATTTCCCTATTCCAAAGTTCGAAATTAGCATGCCTCTTCCGGAGAAGGGGCCAGTGTAGACGTAGCCTTAGAGTATGATGTTCTCTTGTCCTATTCCTGAAAGTCCTCTGTGCTGGGGATGGCATGACCCAGGAACAAGTGGCATAAAGCCAGCTATACGTTACTAAGATATTTCCCCATGTTAGGAAAATCCCCAGCTAACAGTTTAAGCTTTCTGGAGCAGTGCATAAGGGACAAGGCAAGGGTGGAGGGCTGGTCCATGGTATTTATTTTTCTGCTTAATAGGTCAGCGCTGCAAAAAAAACCCAACACATTTTTTTAATTAAAAAAAACACAATACAAACCCCCTGTTGAAATCCATAGAAGAAACTCCAGTTTTGGCAGCCAGGAGGGGGAACAATGGAGAAAGCAGTTTGCTTAGTCCTTCACATGGGGAAGATTGTTATTATTAGGCTGGCCACAGGCCCCATACGAGTAGCACTGATGAGCTTCTAATGAGTTGTATCAAGCCTTCATGAGATCGTAGGGAAAAATGACAATCACTGGAGATGAGCACCAAACCAGTTTCTGCAGCTGAACATGAATCTTGGTCTGCTTCCCTTAGGAAATAAACAAAACTTTTAAAATATTGATGGAGGTAAGTGCTTCTTACCAGTGTATTTATTCTTCTGATCATATACTAGGCTATTTTTTTATAACTATTCACCCCACTCTAGTCTGTACATATAACATGTTCGGTTGTTTCCCATTCAGTCCAATAAGAATCTCCCCTGAAATACTTCTGGATTTTTAAAGTTATTTTAAAGATAGTGCCACCCAGTGTGACAAGCCCTCAAAAGCTATGCCTCCCTAGCAGACTCACAGATTCACCTCATCCCTAATCATCCCAGGCTCAGAAAACAACTCCTGCATCTCACCAAACTAGTAAGACAACAGATGAACCCAGAACGCTGCTCTGAAGAGAAATAAATTTAGGCTCTTTTGAATCAAGAAGAGATTGAGCTCTGGCTTCAGAGATCTCTCACAAAACTTGCTTAGCCACTGGGCTCCTCCCTTTTAAATCAAGGAGTTGATTATTCAAGTGCATCAAGTGATAGCAAAAGAGATGCTATTGCATGGGAAGAATCCAAACCATGTCATTCTTTATAGATCAAAGTCAGAACTTTAAACTCCACCTGGAAACTGAGAGGCATTGGTGTCTCCACTAACTTAAGTTTTTGATTGGTCTGGTACCATTTGGCTATTTCTTCACCCTTTACACAGTCATAGTGAAAGACTTCATACGTTCTTTATAGCACAGTCAACTTTAGCATAACATTTAAGTCAAGAGTACAGTGTCCAAAGCATAAAACAGAAGAAACTGAAAACAAATACCAGTGGCCCAATCCTCTGCCTTGGTTCATCTCTTATGTGCTTTTCTGAAAATCTCAAACTGTTAGCAGGGGATATTTTTCCATCTGTTTCAGCTGTGGATCATGGTGACCTGTGAGAATGAAATAAAGTGGATATTTAGAAGCCCATTCCACTGCTAGAAGGCCACAAGGTCATTATAAAGTTCTCCCAGGTCCCTGAGAGAGTGAGCATTAGGCAAAAAGTATTGTCTCCCAGACAGCTATAGGAACAGGGTCCATTAATTTCAGAGATTATTTCATCAAAAGATTCCTCTGAAATGATGCATGCTTTGCCCTAAAATCAGAGGAGATACTATCTGCCTTTGAGAGAGGTGCATGACATCTCTCTCTGCTCCCTAGCCCCAACATTTTCCTCTCTCATTAGTGTTGCCAGTTCTGTGAGATGAGCCACAAACCACCTGGCTTAATCCCAGGTTGCCATGACAGCTTGAGCTAACTCAGAAGATTTGCCCATAATATGAACATTGTATTAACATCAGCAAAGAATCAGGGAGATAATAATAAGCAAGTGTCAGGTAAGATGGTGTTTATTATCCATGGCACCAAAACAGAAAAAGGAAGAGTAGAGGCTCAGCCCATACAGTGCAATTCAATCTGACAATGATAGTGACATTTCAGAACGCTCCATATATTATTAGAACCAGAGTTTACACAGCTGAGTCTCTATGGCAGAGTGTCATTTTGTATATGTCTGTACAATGCCTAACACAGTGGGGTCCTACCAGGGTGCAGCCTCAAAGTATTACTGTGATATAAATATTAAGTAATACAGTACTTAATTAACATCACACTTTACTAGTTCTTAATTACAAAACAGCTTGTGAAGGCTGAACATTAAAAAAAATCCCCAAAATATGTTTTCTGGATGTATTCCTAAAGCTATTTAAAAAAACAACATCCCCAATTCTTTTAGTTTGAGAACCTACTATATTATATCAGAGTATAAAATAACTCAAATCAATATGTGGATACCAAATTAACAGGAGACTGAGATATGTAATCTATATAGCTCAAATTTTGTATGAACTGGGACAGTTTACTTGCCAGAAAAGATAATATACTAACAAGCTAGAATTTCTTCCTTTCAATAATTTCCAAGCACATAATGAATAAAATATACACAACTGCATGGTGGAAGCTACTGATCTTGATTTAAAAGTTTCCCCAAAAATGCATGATGTAACTTGGAACAGAAATGTGTCTGCTGAAAGCTTTTTCTCCCTGATTTCTTATTAGCAAAGGCACATGTTCCTTCAGCTCTTTTGCCACACAAACCTCATGCAAAAGTGCATGACTGCTGACCTAAGCACTCTCTGGTTTTTAGGAAATACAAAATCATGCCTTCTAACAGATTTTGAGGAAAAGGCAGCACTGGAGAGTAAAGTATTGTCAGTGGAAACATGTGCTCCCACCATCTGTCTTTATACAGATTTATTTATATAGCCTTGTCAATTAACCAATGTGAAAATTATACATACGTTGCCTCTGAGATTGGCCTATGAAGTCTCTAACTAAAGCAAGGGAATCCAACAGTGCAAAATGCTCAAAGCTAAAACACATGATACATCATCACGTTTCTCATAATAAGGTGATGAAATCATGCTGCAGGGGCTGACATGAGGTCTAGGCATGGCACTCCGTCCTTATTCTGGGGTCAGGGTGAAGAGCAAGCTTCTGCCTCACAGCCACTACTCCTGGCATGAGGTTGGAATAGTAGCTATAATCCCTGTGTGCTACCACCATGGGTTGTTAGGCCAGTTGAATCCAGTTGGTCCTCCCAGTTCTACTCTCCACAGTGTGCAGAAGTCCCCTGTGCAGTTGCTCTGCCTTTGGACCGCAATAGATGACAAAGATTTGTGCAAAAGTGACAAGGAGACCTGTGGCACCTTATAGACTAACAGATTTATTGGAGCATAAGCTTTCGTGGGCAAAGACCCACTCCATCGGATGCATGTAGTGGAAATTCCAGAGGCAGGTATAAATATACAGGCATAAGAAAAGAGTTCCAATCAAGAGTAAGGCTAGAGATAATGAGGTCAATTCAGCCAGAGAGGATGAGGCCCATGTCTAGCAGCTGATGTGGAGGTGTGAACACCAAGAGTCAAGAAAAACTGCTTTTGTAGTCGGCTAGCCATTCACAGTCTTTGTTTAATCCTAAACTGATGGTGTCAAATTTGCAGATGAACTGTAGCTCAGCAGTTTCTCTTTGAAGTCTGTTCTTGAAGGTTTTTTGCTGCAGGATGGCTATCTTTAGATCTGCTACTGTGTGTCCAGGGAGATTGAAGTGTTCTCCTACAGGTTTTTGTATATTGCCATTCCTAATATCTAATTTGTGTCCATTTATTCTTTTGCGTAGGGACTGTCCAGTTTGGCCGATATATATAGCAGAGGGGCATTGCTGGCACATGATGGCGTATATTACATTGGTAGATGTACAAGTGAGTGAACTCGTGATGGTGTGCCTGATCTGGTTAGGTCCTGTGATGGTGTTGCTGGTATAGATATGTGGGCAGATTTGGCACTGAGGTTTGTTGCAGGGATTGGATCGTAAGTAAGAGTTACTGTGGTGTGGTGTGATGTATAGTTGCTGGTGAGAATTTGCTTCAGGTTGGCGGGTTGTCTGTGGGTGATGACTGGCCTGCCTCCCAAGGCCTGTGAAAGTGAGGGATCATTGTCCAAGATGGGTTGTAGATCACTGATGATGCGTTGGAGAGGTTTTAGCTGAGGACTGTAGGTGATGGCCAATGGTGTTCTGTTGGTTTCTTTGTTGGGCTTGTCTTGTAGTAGCAGGCTTCTGGGTAAACGTCTGTCTCTGTTAATCTGTTTCCTCACTTCCTCGGGCAGGTATTGTAGTTTCAAGAATGCTTGGTGTTTCTCTCTGTCTGAGGGGTTGGAGCAAATGCGGTTGTACCTTAATGCTTGGCTATAGATAATGGATCATGTGGTGTGTCCGGGATGGAAGCTGGAGGCATAAAGGTAGGCATAGCGGTCAGTAGGTTTTCGGTCTAAGGTGGTGTTTATGTTACCATCACTTATTTGCACCATAGTGTCCAGGAAGTGGATCTCTTGTGTAAACTGGTCCAGGCTGAGGTTAATGGTGAGGTGGAAATTATTGAAATGGTGGTGGAATTCTTCTAGAGCCTCCTTCCCATGGGTCCAGATGATGAACATGTCATCAATGTAGCATAAGTAGAGAAGGGGCACTAGTGGACGAGAGCTGAGGAAGCGCTGTTTCGGGTCAGCCATAAAAGTGTTGGCATATTGTGAGGCCATGCGGGTGCCCATAACAGTGCCACTGGTTTGGAGGTATCTATTGTCACCAAATCTGAAACAGTTGTGTGTGAGGATAAAGTCACAGAGCTCAGCCACCAGTTGTGCTGTGGCATCATCAGGGATACTATTCCTGACAGCTTGTATTCCATCTATGTGTGGGATGTTGGTATAGAGAGCCTCTACATCCATGGTGGCTAGGATGGTGTTTTCCTGAAGATCAATGCATTGTAGTTTTCTCAGGAAATCAGTGGTGTCTCGGAGATAGTTGGGAGTGCTGCTGGCGTAGGGGCTGAGTAGAGAGTCCAAATATCTAGACAGTCCTGCAGTGAGAGTGCCAGTGCCCGAGATGATGGGTGTCCAGGATTTCCAGGTTTGTGGATCTTTGGTAGTAGATAGAATAACCCCGGTCTGTTGATCTGTTCCTGTGCTTGTGTAGGGGGTGTCTTGAGCAGATGGTGCAGTTTCTTAGTGCATTCCTCAGTGGGATCTGTGGAAAGTGGCCTGTAGAATGTGGTACTGGAGAGTTGTCTGGCAGCCTCCTTTTGATAGTCAGATCTATTCATGATGACAACAGCACCTCCTTTATCAGCCTCTTTGATTATAATGTCAGGTTGTTTCTGAGGCTGTGGATGGCATTGCATTCCACATGGCTGAGGTTATGCAGGCTCTCTGCATTGGGACACATTTCACTGTAAGAGTACGATCTTTGGATGATGTGTTATTTGGCACAGAAATCATGGAATGTACGGGGAGACTCAGATACGATCATGAAAAGTCTTCTAGTTATTCTTCTGAATCATAACTGCTCCAAGCTGGAATTTGCTTGATTCCCCATTCACTTTGTCAAGTAGGTGGCATTTTCATCATCAGTGCCACTAGTAATGCAGTAATAAAATGGCAATGCCATGACTTTTGCTTCAGGGCTATAGCTTTATACAGGGAGGAGGATGTTCCCCCTCCCCTTATAAGTAAATTTAGTGCTATAGATTGATAACTGCGATGATAGAAATTCTTTCTTTATCAGCAAAATAGGCACCATATATGCAGATAAAAGTGTCCTAATGTGTGTCAGTCCCTTTTTTGGACCTCCCCCATCCTCCAACTTCCTCCCTCTATCAGCAAAATAGGCACCAAATATGCAGATATAAGCGTCCTAATATGTGTCAGTCCCTTTTTTGGACCTCCCCCATCCTCCAACTTCCTCCCTCTTACCCCATCTGAAATTTCTATGACTCTCCACTCCTCAATCTTAACTTCCAGAACAGAATATTTAGTCCTTGGCCCTTCAGCTCCGCTATCCAACAATAGTGCTGTTGTGCTGGTAGTTGTTTAATATGAACAAGCAACTTTTTTTTTCATTTGTGAATAACCTCAAGCTTTCTTTTTCTTTTGCAATGATTACAAAGCACTCTCTGCTACAGATTCCTGAATAATCCAAAAATTTGTGAAAAGCATTTAGACGCTACAGAGACAAAAGCTCTCTAAGTACAGACGTAGATAAATCAACAACTTCAAAGGTCCAAGTGGCCTATTTCCACTGTAGGGTTCTGGGTGGTTTTAACTGTTTCCAGTTCCTACTTGGATGAGCTAATGGTTTTGAAACTTTTCTACACTTTTCCTCTCCTTCCTATGATTATTTATTAAAGTAATTAACAAATTGTATCTTTTTTTTTGTTGAGCTAGTCAAATAATACTTAATCCTTAGCTATTTTTGGCTTCACAAGCTGGCAGACTATTTTATCCCTGCTACAAATCTGATAAAAGGATCTTGCAATCATTTGTATATGTACAATCTATTAACTCTTTAGAATGCTCTTCTTTTTTTTATTGATAAATCTTTAGTTAATTTACTAAGGATTGGCTCGCAGCATGATATTTGGGTAAGATCTGAGATGCATATTGAGTTGGGGATATGTGTCTGATCGTTTGGGACTGGCAAGAACCTGGCAAGAACCTCACAAAATAGTTTTTCAATATCCTCTCACTATATTAGACCTGGGTGCCTGATTGGGAAACAAGGGCTGGAATGTTTCTGGCTTGTGCTTAGTCAATGTGATGCTGCTAAAGCTTTTTAATACTGGTTTTGTGAATCAATTATAGAGGAAACCACCAGCTTTGGGGATTGGTGGTATGCTCTATTTCTTGCAGTCTGCCCTGAGTGTGGCATTATCAGTGTGGTATATCCCAGGCACCTGTTCATAAGAGAGCATCCTTTAAAAATTGCAGTTCAAATCCTAATGAGGAAAAGAGAATGGAGCATAAACTCTGGTAAACCAAGTGTAAAAGTATAATTAAGCAGACCAAAAAAAAAGAAAGAAATTGAAAAGCAACTAACAAAGAGCACAAAAACTAAGAGCAAAAAGAATGTTGAGGACATCATAAGCAGGAAGCCTGCCAACAATGAGTAGGGTCACTAAATACCTGAGATGCTTAAGGAGCATTCAAGAACAATAAAGCTGATGCAAAGAAATTAAATTAATTCTTTCCATCCATCTTCACTGTAGAGGATTTAAGGGAGAGTCCCACACTTCAGCCTTTTTTTTTTTAAGATCACATATCAGGAACTATCCCAGATTGAGCTGTCAGTAGAGAAGATTTGGGAACACACTGGTAAATTAAACAGTAATAAGTCACCAGAAGTGATCCTAGCAATTGCAGGCCTCACTTCATTACCGGGCAAACTGGTTGAACCTACAGCAAAGAATCCAATGATCAGATACAGAGATGGCCACAATGTATTTGGGAAGAGTCAACAAAGCTTTTGTAAAGGGATCTATTAGAATTCTTGAGGTTGTCAACAAGCATGTGGCCAAGAGTGATTCAGCTGATCTAGTATATTTTGACTTTCAGAAAGACTTTGACAAGGACCCAAACCAATGGCTCTTAAGCAATGTAAGCAGTCATGGGATAAGAGGGAAGATCCTCTCATGGATTGATAACTGATTAAAAGATTGGAAACAAATGATAGGAATAAATGAAGAGAGATAAATAGCAAGGGTCCTCCAAGGACGGGTACTGGGACGTGTGCCGTTTAAAACATTCATAAAAGTGGCAAAGTCTACAGACAATACAAAATTACTCAAGATATTTAAGTCCAAAGGTGACTGCAAAGAGTTGCAAAAGTATATAACTAAACTGGATGTTTTGGCAACAAAATGGCAGATGAAGATCAGTACTGATAAGTGAACAGTAGTAGGAAACCATAATCTTAGCTATACATACAGCATGATGGGGGAGGGGGAGTCTGACCAAGCTGTTACTATTCAAGAAAGATCTTTGAGTCATTGTGGCCAGCTCTCTGAAGAAGTGGGTTGTGCCCACGAAAGCTCATAATATCATCTACATTTTTTGTTAGTCTCTAAGATGCTGAAGGACTATTCATTATTTTTTAAATTTTTTCTCTGAAAACATCCATTCAATGTGCAGTGCCAGTCAAAAAAAGTTAACAGAATATTAGGAAGCATTACAAAGGGATAGATAATAAGACAAAAAAATCAAGATGCTGCTATATAAATCCATAGTACACCCTCGCCTGAATATTAGATGGCGTTCTGATCACAAAAGCTAAAAATGAATACATTAGAATGGGAAAATATACAGGGAAGAGGAATAAAAATGATTAAGGGAATGAAGCAGCTTCCATACAAGGAGATATAAAAAGCCTTAGAAAAGGAATGACTAAGCAGGGATATGATGGATGTCTATAAAATTACAAATGTCACAGAAAGTGAATTAGAAAAGTGCTTTTTACTCCTTCACATAACACAAGAGCTAGTGGTCACTCTATTAAATGAATTGGCAGCAGGTTTAAAACAAACAAAAGCAAGTACATAAAACACAGTCAACCTGTGGAACTCATTGCTGGGGGATATTGTGAAGGCCAAATGGGATCAAATAAGAATTAGATGAGTTCAGGGGCGGATAGGTGCATCAATGACTATTAGCCAAGTTAGTCAGGGATGCAGCCCCATGCTCTGGGTTAAACCCCATGCTCTATGTTAAAACCTCTATGTTAAAAGCTGCAGCTAGATGAACGGGGACAGATAACTTGATAATTGCCCTGTTCTGTTCATTCCATCTGGGGCACCTGGCATTGGTCACTGTCAGAAGACAGGATACTGGGCTAGACAGACCATTGGTCTGACCCAGTATGGCTGTTCTTATATTAATTTTATTGGAACAGAGAAAAACATGAATAGACAATGGTAGCCTGAAACACCCAGCCAATCAGTAGCATGATCTACAGCACCAGTCACGCCTGGCAGCAGGTAGGAGTGCACAACTGCTACCCTCACTAGGCAGGGCCCCTCCCCTGGTGATCCCTGAAGCTGTATCCTCAGGGGACGGGGTCCTATGGGGATGAAAGGGCAAGGTGATCCCAAGAAGAGGTAGGGCTTGGGACCCAGTAATGGACAGCAGATTGTGCAATCGCTGCAGCTGGGGATGATCCCCAGCTGGGAGTTTGAGACCCCTGAGTTAGGTGCTCAGAGGAAACATTTGCATTCCTCAGCACACCAGGCGGTGTCCCTGGGTAATTATTCTGTGTATAAATCAATGGGTGATGTCGTTGCACATTATCTTTATAATGCCCCCTCTCCCATCTTATGTATCACTAATTCTTCTTTCCACCTCAGTTTTGTTCATTATTTTAGAGCTAAAGTAGCAAGCCAGGAATGTTATCTTTATAATGCCCCCTCTCCCGTCTTATGTATCACTAATTCTTCCTTCCACCTCAGTTTTGCTCATTACTTTAGAGCTAAAGTAGCAAGCCAGGAATGTAGAGTTCTTTATTTATCCAGACAACCATACAGCAGAGGAAACAGCAGTGCAAGCTTCTTCACATTATCCTGATAAAGCATCTTACTCCTAGCCTGGAGGAATCACATAGAGGTGAAAAGGTGTTCGCATCATCTGGCCACTCAGTGTTTGGTCAGTCTGCTTCAGCTACCATGCCAAGTGTGGGAGGATCAAATTTATTGCTTTGCTTCTGTTAGACAAATAAATACACTGTGTAAGTCAGTTTCATACAATTAGTGTCCAGTTACAAGAAGAAAAATGAAATAGCTAATCTCTATGTGAATTAATGGTTGAATAGATCTCTGATGACTGTGAGGTATTTTATGGTGAAGTGCTTCTAGCAGAACCTGACTCTGGAATGTAGTTTCCCCTAATAGCAGCAAAAAATGTGATTTTTTTTTTTTCAAATGAGGATCAGAATGCCCTCTGACTACTGCCAATGATCAGAATCCAGATACTAGGTCAGCCATAAATGACACAATGCCTTTCTACTACCTGATAGCACAATTACACAGTTAATGGATCAGCTACAGCTCATGCTGTGCTATTTATTTTTAATAACCACCATCACCTCCAAGTAAGTCCTGTCAGTGAGCAGATCATTACTGCAATGGGAAATGCAAAGAGTCTTATCTTATGACAAAAATTGGAGGATTTCACAATCACACTGGGAGCAGAACATAAATAAGTACATATATGAAGGACAAGTACTTAACTACTAGCATGTAAATGAACAGTGTCATTGAAGCTGAGATCTTTCTTGAACTAAAAAATATCACTTAAAGATAAAGCAGCAACTTTTGGGGCTTTTTTGCGCAAAACAATACTACGTTGTCTACACTGGCCCTCTTGCGCAAAAGCATTTGCGCAAGAGGGCTTTTGCCCAAACGGGAGCAGCATAGCATTTCCGCAAGAACACTGACAATCTTACATGAGATCACAACTGGTATAGCCCACAACTGGAATAGCATGGCAAATGGGTGGGAGTGTGCAAGAAAAAAAGGCGCAGTATAATACATACAGTTTTTATTATATCACACAAAAAACCTAAATGGTGTGGATCTTGGTTGTTTGAGAAAGCACCTCTCTCGCCTGTGTCCCAACACAGAAATGATTATTCACACAATTTACTCTTGCTAAGTTATTTCTGCTCACCTACCACAGTCCAGTTCTTCCAGTGTTGGTCTTTTTAAAGCGATTTCTCTCCTGCTTCAAAAATGCCTTTAGCAATTGGCCAGGGTGACATTTTCAGCAATAATGTGATTACACTGAGCAGAACTGAAAGATATAAAGTAACAAAACCTTGGCTTTTTCAACAAAAGATGGTTGAATAGATGTTATTATTACATGATGCGGTGAAGCATATAAAATTGTATATGACATCACAGTAACTGTGTACTTTCAAAGTAATTATATGCACTGCAGACTGAATGCCAATTGCCCTCTGAGTTAATATGAATATAAAACATGTAACCATTGTTCATGCAGCTACTATGAAACAGGTTGTCTAGCCATGTAATCTGCAGTTCACTGATCTATTAGAAATGTAATATATTAAATAGTATTTTGACTGAAAAATAATCATGGTTAGTAGTTTTTGTTATTTTACAAATGGGTAAACTGAGGCATGGGCAGATTAGCTGATTTGCCTAAGGTTATCTAGATAGTCAGTGGGGTCATCAATGGCAGAACAAAGGAATTCTGACCAGTTTGCTGTTCTGACTACACACCCTGGGATGGACAATCTTTCTACCATCTATCAACTCTAAAGAGACTGAAAGAAAACTTCTCCCTGCCACTCATACATCTTTTAAAAATAATGTTGGGGAGGGGGGGGTTGCTTGGAGGGTTCATGCTTATTAAAAGATTAAGAGTTCAAAGTGCTGGGCTGTTCCTTAAGTTGCTGGTTCTTTTGCATTTCTCAAGTAAAATATATATATTAACAAAATTCTGAAAGACTTCACTTGGACCGAGACCATGCTTGGAAAATGTCAACCTAAACAAAGACATTTAAGGAAAGGTCTGACAGTGAAAATGAGTTCTAATAAAGCCTGTTTTTGCACTCATAACTATCATGTTAACTGCCCCCAAAATGATAACAAAAATATCTGAATTATTATATTCTGAGGACTCTGTATTCTCAGCTCTTTGTAAGGTCAAGTCCTAAAACCTTCCTTACTTCATATTATCTTTGTTTATCTAGATGCTTAAAATATTTTCATTAACTCAACTTTTCCTGAACTCTGATATAGACATAGAATTTTTATTCAAATTATAGTCGTACATGAACTTCTCTTGGACTGCCAATCCACTGCTCAGTAGGAAACCAGGATTAGCTCTCATGTGAAATCTATAAAGCGAATGAAAGACTTTGCAATGGTGAACTAATCTGATCTGAAGAAAATTGATTTAAACAGTTCCGCAGTGTAGTTCAGAGGAATTACTTTACACGTGTACAAGTAATAAGTCGTCAGCTGAAGTGGGCTAGTAGAAGACTTTGTCTTAGATCAATCAGCCTTCAAGAAATGTGATCCAGCTTTCAGGCAATCCCTTCAGTCCTGAGGGCTGGGGGCCAGTCACATCATTTTTAGCTTTGTTAGCTTTGCTGGCCACACGAAAGAGTAAAAGTATCCAAACATTTTCTGTTTCGTTTTGAAAATGTTTACTCTGAAGCACAAGGGCTGAGGACACAACATACATTCCTAGCTCTGTGCAGCACAGACACATTTCAGTGTTCACTCCTTTCGGAGGCTGTGTCTAGACTGGCAAGTTTTTCCGCAAAATCATCTGCTTTTGTGGAAAAACTTGCCAGCTGTCTACACTGGCTGCTTGAATTTCCGGAAAAGCACTGATGATCTCATGTAAAATCATCAGTGCTTTTCCGGAAAAACTATGCTGCTCCCGTTCGGGCAAAAGTCTTTTTCCGAAAGACTTTTGCGCAAAAGGGCCAGTGTAGACAGCATAGTTCTGTTTTCCGCAAAAAAGCCCCGATCGCGAAAAAGGCAATCGGGGCTTTTTTGCAGAAAACTGCATCTAGATTGGTCACGGATGCTTTTCCACAAAAAGTGATTTTGCGGAAAAGCATCCTGCCAATCTAGACGCGCTTTTCCAAAAATGCTTTTAACGGAAAACTTTTCTGTTAAAAGCATTTTCGGAAATTCATGCCAGTGTAGACGTAGCAACAGTGTATGTGGATTTCTCCTCCCTGGAAGTCCATGGAAGCACTGATTTCTCACCACATAAGTAAATGGAAGAAGAAAATGCACAAAATCTAGACTGAAGCCACATGTGCACTGCAGACCTATGTCAGTAAAACTACATCCCCAGAGAAATGAAAAGTTCATGTCCTGAGTGATGTGGTTATACTGACCTAGCTCCCAGGTAGACAGTGCCATGTTGACAGAAGAGCTTCTCCTGTCAATATAGCAGGAAGGTGGATTAACTATACCAACATGTAGGGCCGCCTTTAGGAAGTGTGGGACCCAATTCGAACAATTTCAATGAGGCCCCACAGCAATTTTGACTGAGCAAAAAAACAACAACACGCACACAAAAGTTTCAACGGGGGCCCCAGGAACTTTGGTTGAGCAAAAAAAACTACTTCCCCAACAACAAACCCCAGAGGTAGCTAACATACCTGGAAAAAGATATCCCAGTCAAAAAGCATCATGCTTAGTTGCTCAAGCAGGGGCAAGGATAAGTCCAGTGCATCCTCCGGGAGGAAATTAATAAGTCCTATGTTTGCTTGGTCAGTGGGATGGGGCGGAGCTGAAACAGCAAGAGGCATTGATTAAGAACCCCCTGAATTTTTGGCAGCACCAATAAAACATTCTGGGAAGGGGACTGGTGGTCCTAGGTCTGTGTATGTGACTGCAGTTTATGCCCATAGAGCAGCGTTCTCGTCCTGTGAGCGGGCCACCTGCTCTTGTACTATCTGGTTATCTGCAATGTGCTATGTCTGTTGAGCTCACAGTGCTGCATTTTCGTTTGTGCAGAGCTTCGTTCTCTGTTGTGAGCTGCAATACTTGGTCTTGTAAGATTGGGGGCCCTTCCTGGATGCAGTCAGCCCATTCAGGCATTTCTAATACTTACTGGGGCATGGTGGGTAAAGAGTAGGCCTTCCCCATGGGATAGGATTGACCAGGAAGACTGTCAGGATCATGACAAGAGCAGTCTCAGGACCAATGGTCAGAGTAGGGACAAACCTGAAGCTGAGAGTAGCAGAGGAGTTTGTAATCCAGTGCTAAGCATGTTCAATATCAACATCAGAGTCCAAGTCTGATTTTTGGTCTCGAGCGGCATGGTCCAGATCAAGCTGAGCTCCAAGTCAGGAGTCCAAGAGCAGGAAAGATCATGACAGACACAGGAAACCCACATTGTTGCCTGGATGCTTCCTGGATTGCCCCTAAGGCTTATGTAAGGCTTATGTATTGCCTGTTAGACCCCTGAAGGCAGGACTTCCAATGGTCTGTGTCTGCAGTGCGTCATGGTAGCACAGTACCCGCTAGCTGCCACTGCTCCTGGATGGCAGTGTGGAAGTGTTTGTAGCCTGCAAGCATGGATTCGAAACTCTCTGGGCCTTATGCTCAGTCTTACTCACGCTTATAATAATAGCTTTACTTAATGGAAACAACAATAACAGAATATGTTTTGGGGCCTGTCAGCACACCATCATAGAGTGCTTCCATGTAGCATCATGTATCACAAAAAATGCTACTTCAGATGCAGGAGTGTGTTCTGATTCGCAGGAAAGATATTTTAAAGAATGGCTTCTCTAAATGTGAGCCCAAGTCCTAGTGGTGAAGTGGAGTGAAATATTCACCTTTTAGCCCCAAAATGTTACCCACCACACAGAACAGATGTGGCCCGGGTCACTCTGAGGTTTACTGCAGGGGAAGGAGTGTCTGCAGTAACAATGGCAGTTTGGGCTGAGAGGAGAGGTAACTGAAAGGGAATGGCTTTAATTTGAAAACCAACACCACCAAAAGCTGAAAATGGGGAAAAGTTGGTAGATGAATGCCTGTGGGGTGAATGGCATGCTTCGAAGTGCGTCTCTTAAAAATGCCAGTGAATGTTAAAAGTGAGAGGAGTGAGTCATAAGCACATGAGCAGGGAGTTGAGTGGAAGACAAGAAATCATGCATCTCTGCTTAATGCCATCACATGATGAGCCCTAGGGCTCTCCATTTAATCACAGAGAAGGAGGGCAGCAGATAAACATTATCCTCACTTCTCTGAAGAGAGTTGAGGTGTGCAGGAATTGGGGGCACAAGACACACACACTTCCATACCAATGAAGGGTCCCTGCCTCCTCCTCCTCCTCCTTCTTGGAGTCCTGCTGCTGGCTGAAGGGGTTCTGCATGCTGCTGCCAAACGTGAGTTCTTTCCAATGCTTCCGTCCCCTCAGCTCCCTGCTCTCCCAGGCTTCATTTGCTGAGACTCGTGGGATCACAATTATGCAGCTGTTTTGGAATGTTGGCTTTGGTTGCTGCAGCTCGCGATCGGGGCTTTTTTGCGGAAAACAAATCTCTGCTGTCCACACTGGCCCTTTTGCGCAAAAGTTTTTCAGAAAAAGACTTTTGCCTGAACGGGAGCAACATAGTATTTCCGCAAAAGCACCGACAATCTTACATGAGATCGTCAGTGATTTTGCGGAAATTCAAGCGGCCAGTGTAGACAGCTGGCAAGTTTTTCCAGAAAAGCAACTGCTTTTCCGGAAAAAGTGGCCAGTCTAGACACAGCCTAGGGGTGGAGACTGAACCTCAGTTGACCTCCTCTCACTTCCCTGGGCAACATATTGTCTCAGACTCAGCTTTCCCTCTCCTCGCCTTCCCTTCTCTCCACCAGAGATAGCATCCAAGCTCAGGGACTGGAGCCCAGCTGAGTTGGGAGCAGGGTGCAAGTAGCACAAGTGCCTCTCTTCCAATAACACTAATGAAGGGGTCATTATTAACAAGAATCACATTCTCACAGACTGCTTTGGGCTGAGTTGCTCCAAATGTGGTCATGACTGACACTTGCTTATGAAGATTTTGTATAATTAAGTGGAAGGAAAAAAGGCTCTTTTTTCTGACCCTTCAGTTCACCTGCATGTGGTTTAGCGGGACGGGTGCCGGAGTAGATGCTAGGCTGAAAAATGCCTTGACTGTGTAATCCAAAAGCATGTGAAACTTTTTAGATATCCAATAAACAAATGAACAAGCCAGTGAAGAAATACCACAGGATTTTAGCTAATGAGTTAGAATTTGTGATGCCCAAAATTATGCAGAGGGCTGATGGCTTGTCATAGAAAACCATACAAGCCATGATCCGGTTGTGGAGCAGATACTATCCCCCTTTGCAGAGGCCAGGCACAATTGTAGCCCTGTATGCTGAGATAAAAGACTACTCCCTCTTAAAGACCGTGCAGGGCATAATTCCCCACAGAGCAGGGAGGGGCTAGCAGCACTGGCTGAGCACAGAGAATGGGACACATGGAACTAGCCAAAGGGAACTCCAGTCTGGTAGCAACTTTAATGTGTAATAAGGCAGGTGGGAAAAATAGCAGTTGTTGCTTCTCCTTCAGCACTGCTTTGCTGTTTTCACCTGAGGAGTGCATTGTGCAGCACCACATACTCCAGCTATATCTGCATGGTGCCTCTTCTCAATGACAGGGAAGTGAAAGGACCCTTGAGCACATAACACACCACTATAGGTGCAGAAGTGGATTTAGATTGATTGGGGCCTTGGGCACATAGAACATTGGAGCTCCCCCACACTCCAGGGGCCTGGGATGCCAGAAAGGGAGGAATCAGGAGGGCCATCTTTGCCCTCTTTTAAACATGGGCATAGTAGCCTTGGGCAGTGGTAGAATGGCAGCAATAGGGCGACACTTCATGGTGGGGACCACTATAGGTGCAGAAGTGGATTTAGATTGATTGGGGCCTTGGGCACATAGAACATTGGAGCTCCCCCACACTCCAGGGGCCTGGGATGCCAGAAAGGGAGGAATCAGGAGGGCCATCTTTGCCCTCTTTTAAACATGGGCATAGTAGCCTTGGGCAGTGGTAGAATGGCAGCAATAGGGCGACACTTCATGGTGGGGTGCGGCCCCCAGCCCTCCCTTGCCACAGAACCCTGCCCTCTGCTGCTCCTCTTCCTACCATGGCCCCTCCAGTGGCATAGTGAGAAGTGGGGGGGCAGTTGTCCCCGGGTGTCATGTTGGGGGGGTGCCAATTTAGTCCCCCTCCACTCATCCTGTCAACCCTCAGCTCGCCTGCTCCTCCGCCACCCATCGCCACTGGCTGGAGCCGCCTCTCCGCAACCCCCAGCCCGACCCTCTTCTATCTCTCCCAACGGGTTAGTGCATGCGGAAGCCCATCCCCAAACTTTAGGGAGCGGGGGAAAACGCGGTACAAGCTCCCTCCCCCCACCCCACCCGTACCCCGGGCTTTCCTCCCAGGGTCAGGATCAGCTGTGCGCCAGGTCCGGGGCCCCACCGCATGGTAGTGGCGGCGCAAATTTTGCCTTTGCCCCCGGGTGCATAATACCATCGCTACGCCTCTGGGCCCCACCCGTAGGCCAGAAGCTGGAGCTGAGCTATGCTCAGAGTCACCCATGGACCCCAGGCTACTGTGGTGACCTGCCCTGGGTGGTGTGCTTCAGGGGGGGAAGGGAAACAAGGGCTTCTCTCATGGCTTTCTATATGATCCATCCATAAAGAAGTCTACCTATTTATGAAGTGAACCAACCGCACAACTGCAGCAGTATTTCCAGTGATCTGAGCAATTTCTGCAAATATCACAGTAGAAGTTCCTGTGAAACTTTCTTCTCTTCAGCTAAATATGATAATACACACAGCAAATAGAAAATGTACAGATGGTCTTAAAACTTTGGGATGTAAAATATTTCTTGCCAGGGGAGACATATGTTCTGGCCTCTTCTAAACAAATTACAATGAGATGTGTGGGTATGTGTGTCCCACGGATCCCATGGTGCCACCTGGTCAAGGGCACAACTGCACAAGGAGTGCATGAGGTTTTTCAGGGAATCCCCTGGGTCAGATACATGCATAATAGATCATCAAAGGGTGGCATGTGAGGTCTCTTCAGACTGCCAGTAGCCCACTGGCCATCATAAGCAAGTGTATTACAGATAATAGCAAAGAAGTTATGTATCTATACTGAAAATTAAATTCATAAGGTCTTGGAGTTTAGGCAGATCATCAGGAGCTAACTGTTACCTATCTCTTTACCTGGCCATCCCTGTATTGTGTGCTCCACAATTAATGCTCAGCTGCACACTGGGCCAGGTGCAAATTAAGACACTGTGAAATTCCTGAGATGAATTCTTCAGGAAGAATAAAACAGCCAGGTGTGTCCTATTCATGAATGAAAGCGAAGGCTTATTCCGGTACATCTTGGGGTGCAAAGAGACAAAGGGAATCCTTCATCTAGGATGCAAACTGGTGGTGTGCTTGCTCATGAATGGGTCATAGCCTGACTTGCTGAAAAGTACTGTAAGGATTCTGAGGTTAGCAATACTCCACAAGACATAAAAGTATTGTATTAATTAAATCTATGCTCAGAACTTATGATTTTGTTGTATATCTAACCATTTGCTTCCAACATTTCTTCTACTTAGAATCCCTTTCCTGTGTCATATACATTTATACTAGATACACTATACAGGCAGTCCCCGACTTACGCGGATCCGACTTATGTCGGATCCGCACTTACGAACGGGGCTTTTCTCACCCCGGAGCTCACGGGCGGCGGGTCGCCGCCCGTGTCCTCCAGGGCGGGAAAAGCTTCTCCCGGAATCCCTGGTCTGCTGGGGGGGTCCAGC